AATATATACTGTTCATAAAGATTCATACCAGTAAACTGACAGATATTACATTAAAATGATGATTATATTAACACAAACACACATTTATGGTCCAATTTTCCCAGCTACAGTGGAATGCAAAAGTTTGGGCAGATTAATTAATTAACTTAATTTTCCTGATTCACCTTTATAAATCATTGATTGTTTAGATAAAAAAAATCAGTAAACTATATCATATAGGGGAAAAACACAGTAATATTTGAGAAGTGAAATGATGTTGATATGATTTACAGAAAGTGTGCAATAATTGGTTAAACAAAATTAGGCAAGTGCATAAACCTGGGCACTGTTGTCATTTTATTCATTTCAAAACCTATAAAACTAATTATTGGAACTCTTTTTTTTTTGCCACTTCAGTAGAAAGCAGGATTGAATATTTGAATATTAGGATCTTAGCTTCATCATCGTCAGTGGCTTTTTTATAGATAGACAAGAAAGAAGAAGAAAGAAAGGGAAAAAAGAAGGAAAGGAAAGAAAAGGTTACAATGTAATGGAAAAAAGTGAAAGAGAATTGATGATATGTGAGATATACGTCAAGAAAACAATACAATACATCCAACTTCTGTCTRCACACCTGCAAAGAATTAAGGTAACAAAACTTAGCAAAAGCATACATATATACAGTATGTTTAGACAGATAAACAAACACTCACCTACCTGGTGATCATTCAGAACCCCTCGGATCTGAACACTTGTCTGCGCGTGGTTGTGAGCAAGCATAAATATGCAGGATTTCTCCAACGGAATGCATAATAGTGACAGTGGGGGAGTCCCAGAGTCGACCCCCAAGGCACGAGGCAGACATAAGGGGAGGCCAGAGCCAAAGACCCCAGGCACCGAGCCCCCAGGTACACCTATGCGAGGAGAGCCGCACACCCACCCCCTGGCCAAACCATAGGGGAGAACCCCACCAGCGCCCACACGCAGCARCCCCACAATGGCCTGCAGCGACGAGCACGCAGGCCCCAAACGAACCAGGGCAGGGGGAAGTCCACGGCTCAGCCTGACACATACCCACGCATACACAAACACAATCATACAATCCCACCCTCATCCTCGCACCCACACATTCAAAGACATACAATATAGACGCCACACTCCATTCACACTCCCGACACACACTCTATACCCCCCAGGTCTAGGGTATGCCCCCGTCCCCYGCAGAGGGCRGCCCACACCCGAACCCAGGAGGTAAACCCATTTGTTCTGGGGTGGAGAGGAGCAGACGGCCAAGTCCCGGCCGGGACCGCGCCGACCCGACCAGCCACCCCGGCCCCAGCAAGGCCACGCCCCAACTATCCCCCAACCACCGCCAACGGCCAGGGGTACACCCCCAGCCGACACCCGCCGGAGCCCGGTGACCACACCAGCCAGCGGGCCGACCACGCCAACCAGGAGCCACATCCCGGGAGTCCAAGCAGCTCCAGAGAAGCCAGAGAGCAAGCCCGACCCCCGGTGAACCCCCGCCCCCCAAGCTCCCAGTCCGCCATCAGTCCAGGCCCCCACCCTGCGGCGTGCCCCCACCAGGGCCCCACCCCCAGACGTCAATCGGGAAATGGGGGAGTGAGAAAGAAATGAATAAATAAATAAATGAATGAATAAATAAATTAAAAAATAAATAAATAAAAGAAGACCCTGACACACACACCCCCACCATCAAATGTGGAACTCAAATTTGGTTTGGTAAGTTCAGTGACCCTTGACCTCCATACATAGGTGACTCCAGTTATGGAAAAGGATATTTAAGGGTAATTGTAAGTTTTTCTCCTCTTTGCATCTTCTCTGAAGAGTCGCAACATGGGAGCACTTTCAAATGACCTGAAAACATTGCAATTAAACAAAATTTGTAAATTAAGTACCCACAACCACCCCACCCCACCTCATATTTGGGTGAATAAAACTGATGTGTTTATGACATGACCAGAGGTSACGTTAATTGACTATTTTCTGTATTTGACCAGGTTTTTTTTTACACAATGACTGAAAAATCTGAAGGCTGTCCATCATTTTGACAGATTGCAATTAACATCCCTGACCTCTTAAGTCTGTAAGACTTAATAAATAAACCAGATGAGGTGKAGAAAAAAAATACAATGATGCTTCACATGACGGCAAGCTCTGTGGCATCACACTCACACAGAGACATTTTCAGCTTTACGCACGGAGTAGGTCTACATCACAGAGGTCTCATTTAATCTAAAAAATAAAATAAATAAAAGATTCCCATCTGATCATCATCTCAGATCTAGACACCATGTTGAGGAGGAGCTGACAGCGCAGTGAAGAAGGACATGAGGCTTTGGAGCATCTGTGAGGCGCAGCTGAACCAGTGCAGCGCGAGTGCATGCTGCGGCATTTCCTCCTGCGACAGCTTGTGGGATTTGGAAATAAAGTCTTGCTGACTTCTGATCACTTCGACTGGATGAATGTTTTCTGATTTTAAAGGGATCCATGATTAGTTGTAACATTAGACTTTATTTGATGAACATATATTTTAACTGTAAAATAAAGACTAAAATACTGTAGTCTGTTTAGTTTTTATAATTTTTAAACTAAAAGTTTAAGAATATATTACACAGACGGGGTAAATGATGACGTGGATAGGTCCTCGGTGTGAGTAAGCTACATCCACCCTGAAGGTTAGTCTTGGACAATATCTGATGACTGGATCTTTTAAATGAAACCAAAGAGCGTTGACAGAGAGGAGAAGGTAGAAACGACTCAGCCTGTAACTGAAAATATGGATGGAGGACAACAGAGCTGCTTCATGGAAGAAGAACCCCAGCTTAGAWACAAGACTGGCCAAAAACCTTTGCACCCCACTGTATGTTTGTTTTTAGGGCAGAAAGTTACATTCAGTGGCTGTAGACAATACTTTTCTGTCATTATGGGAACTCCTCTGGCCTCACAGCAAGAAGGTCCAAAGTTCGATCCCTGGTTTGGACCTGGGGTCTGTCTGTGTGGAGTTTTCATGTTCTCCTTGTGCTTATGTGGGTTTTCTCCAGGTACTCTGGTTTCCTCGACAGACCAAAAACAAAAGAGATACAGCGGGTAAAATAAGTATTGAACACGTCACCATTTTTCTCAGTAAATATATTACTAGAGGTGCTAATGACATGAAATTTTCACCAGANGAAACTGCAACACAGATGGTGAAATGAGGAATTAGAGCCACACTGTGCCATGATCACTGTCAGAGATTTAATTTCACTTCATAATCAGACTTAGATTTTTATTCAACTTTATCATCAGCTTTCTTAACAGTATTTTTTATGCTTCTGCTGCTGAGCCATGAGGATCTTTGAAATAAAAAACTTAAATCTTAAATAAACGTTCCCGTGCGCAGCTCCCTTCATCTGCTTCCTCCTCAGATGACCCTGACCCACAGACCCCTCCCTGACCCACAGACCCCTCCCTGACCCACAGACCCCCTCCATGACAAGAACAGCAGGACATCAAAAGTCACGCTTTAGATGCACGTGCAGGGCTCGCCCACCTCGCCAGTGTGAATGTAATAAACCTTCATGTTTAAAGTCCGTGTTTGTCACGCACGTGCGGGGGGATGCGTGCGTGTGTGTGTGTGTGGACGGGTTTTTCCTACAATGTGGGGTATTTTTTTTTTAAAAAGCAGCCAGGTGGGGACCGAAGTGAATCGTGGGGACCAATGTCAGGTCTCCACGGGTCCAAATGCATGTTACAGGTGTGGGGTTAGGTTTAGGACCAAGGTTTATGTTAGTTTTGGGGTCAGGTAAGTTTCTGTGAGGTTAATTTTAGAGTATATGGTCAGGGTTAGGCTATACAGTCTAAAAACATGAATGGAAGTCAATGGAAGGTCCCCACGGGGTCAAGAAACAAACATGTGTGTGTGTTTGTGTGTAGGTGTGTGCGCGGGGCGGGTGTGTCTGCCGCGGATAACAGAGCAGGCAAGAGGGGGAGAGGACGAGAAGAGCGGTGGACTTACTTTTAATTTTATCTGACTTATTTAATTTTATTTTGTTGTTTTTATCGTCCTGAAGGCTCTGATGGAAAATAAATTTGAAGCTGAGGTTTTTTATTTTTATTTTTTATAAAAATCGTTAGATTACTCTAAAGCAAAATGATGGAAAATCTGTGTCAATTACAGATAATCTGTTCACGTGAGCAGCTGTCAGTCAGCACCTGTCAACCTCCAGACGCACGACGGAGCGTGTCTGAACCAATCACGTTTGTTGGCATTGATCAGCTGACTGATTTAAATACACCTTAACATTCATGAGGTACTTTGCATTGACTGTTTATGGTTGAATGTGGGCGTGTAGAGGGTAGAACCTGAGGCGGGACCTCGTGCGCAAACTCTGACGTGCGGCTGTGTTTTATAAAGGAAAGATGCGCAGAAACGNCACCTTCATTTACAAATTGCATTTTGTGTTTACTTGTGTTGTCCTTGACTATTGTTTAAATTGGTTTGATGTTCCGAAACACTTAAGTGTGACAAGTATGCAAAAAAACAGCAAATGAGGAAGGGGGCAAACACTTTTTCACACCACTGTACATTCCCGCCCTCTCTTACATTGTCAGTCACGGTGTTGATCAGTGAGTACAACCTGTCGGCTTTCTGCAAGTACGACTCATCCTCCTCCTGGAAAGAAAGACACACACACTTCAAAAATAAATCTAAAAAAAGAAAAACACAAAAGGATTTAACTGCAAATAAAGTTCACAATTTAAACCCAATTTCACAATAAAATGCATTAATGACAGCACATTGTTTCAAACAACAACAAGAAGCAACTCTGTGGTTATTTATTTCTACATTATTTGTTCAACGAATTTTGGCTCCCCCTTCAGGCTGCAGAGGAACTGTGCAGTTGTCACAAAGATGAGATGAAACAAAAACATTACAAATATGAACATACAGATCTTCAAAGTAATTTCACTTTTTAAAAACAAACCAGATTTTGTTATCCTGAAGGATGCTGACAATCCAAAGAGGCAAGAAGGAAAACAAGAAGAGACTCAGCACTGAAGGAGGTGTGGCTTCACCTGCAGACTCACCTGTGTGTAGAGTGCGGGGCGGAGACACACCATCCCTGACTCTTCATCGTTCCTCTCTGAGGCATGAAGGTGTCGGCTGAAGCGCGGCAGAGGAACAGCAGGACGACTGTCAGGCAGGAACATGTTAGCTGAAACAGGCATGATGACGGCGTTTGTCACGGGACCTGGAGACAAACAGAACCTGATGAAACCAGTTTCTGTTGGACCTGAGCTAGGCCTGATGGTTCTGCCTTCCTCTGCAGGCATCCACTGGGTCTACGTCATATACAGTGGGGAAAATAAGTATTTAGTCAGTCACCAATTGTGCAAGTTCTCCCACTTAAAAAGATGAGAGAGGCCTGTAATTGACATCATAGGTAGACCTCAACTATGAGAGACAAAATGTGAAAAAAAATTTGAGAAAATCATTTTGTCTGACGGGTCACTGGTGCCCATATCCAGCAGTCACCCGCCCCTCGCACTGTGACTGCTGGATATGGGCACCAGTGAC